AATATAAATATAAATATAAATATAAATATCCAAAGAATAAGCCCACACCATGGTAAAGGATAGTATATCCTTATTTTGGAAAAGTTTATGATGTTTATGGCATGTAATTAATATGAAGACAAACAGTATCCATGTTACAAAGTCATTTTTTTCATTAAATGCTTCAAACGATGTTCAAGAGTCTTCATTTATAAAGCATGGAAAGACTTGCTTATTATATCTGTAGCAGGATTTTGTCTCACTGTTCAGAATCAAAATTTACATCTTAATTAGAGTCTCCGTACGTAGCAAAAATGCTGCTGGTAATAAAATATTTTATTACCTGCTTTTCTATTAATAGTGGATCCTCTAGTTTTGCCATGTGTATTTCTGAATACCTCCCTCCCCAATACTTGCATTTTCTGCATGTATGAAAAGCAGTCTGTGAACTGTCCATAGGATAAAGATCTTACAGGCTACAAAACTCAACAAAACCAAGAGAAGCAAACATGTCCTGTACTTTTACAAATACTTTTTTCTTTTCTGTCATTTCACTTTGGTGAAAGCCTTCAAATAGATTTGGAGACAGCTGTTGTATTCCCATTTGTGAATGTCATTATTGTAGTTAGAAGAGGTGCACTGATTAGTTTTGATCAAAAAAATATGTTATTTTCAACATAGAATGCTTCACGCAGAGAGAGAGGGGGGGAGGGGGAAAGAGAGAGAGATTGGATCAATTCAGCTGAATTAGTGACAAAAAGTATTTTCCAGGATTAAAATAATTATTTCATCACCAGATAAGAGAGAATATTTTTATAAATATAAAAGAACTTTTAGAATAATTATACTATATTAACATATTTAATTATTAATGACACTTTCAGGACACAGGTTCTTCCCCCATTCCTTCATTTTTGCAGATTCTTAGAAAATGGGTAGTGTTGGCCCAGACTCTGATATACAATGATTTACATCAATAGTGTATTCAGGTCATCAGCTTGGCATAAGGCAGCCAGAAGTAAGGAATTAGAAGGTTGGGTAATTTTGCAGACGGAATGTAAATCATGTTACATATTTACATCCATGTTGATCCTTGATTTGAGTGTGCGTGTGGGCATGCTTGCAAATGTCTACAATTAAGACAATCAAATTAAGCTTATAAGATTTCAATGACTACAGACCAATTTGAGACAGACTTATTCAAAATTTTATAGTCTTGACTTTTAGTGGCACTTCTGTCAAAGCTACACTATTGAATATTAACACTGCTGAAAAGTCTTACCTACTGCATTCCTGAAAGTAATTTTCTTTGAAATCAGTGAGGTTTCAATTAAAGACAGTTAATACCCAAAGAATTGTTCAAATTATAGTGGGTCGATTATTATTTCAATTAAAACATACCTGTTGTATCTAGTATGTTTATATGCTATGGGTCCACATCCACCCACTAGTTTGTACCTGCATGCATTGCTCCCATTTCTGAGTTTGCTTTCAAACATTTCTCTCAAGTTCTTTTATCACACTTTTTCTTTTAAAAAAGTGCTGAAATACAAACACTGCTAATGTTATGTTTATAAAGGCCAGTAATGTAAACTTATTTAGATTCCTCAAACTGATATTCAGAAAGGTGAAACAAAATGTAAGTGAATTAAGGGGGGGGGGGGACACAAAAATCAACGGTCCGATTTTAGCCATCTTCCTTAAATCAATAGGCGAGCAAGTCAGACCTGTTTATGAAGAAATACGCCCGGGAGCTACCTGCGACGTATGCAGGCTTCCTCAGAAGGAAGTGCCACTAAGTTCGGGAAAGGGGAGAGGGGGATTTGTTCTACCTGTCTCTCATCTTTCCAAGTAATAAGTCTACTTTCCGAGAAAAAACGGAGCGGATAGAGTGGTTAAAACAGACCATCCCGAGTTGGCCCCGCACAACACACACCCCACGCACACATGCAGGACACAGAAGAAGACGGGGGAGAGGAGGAGGAAGAGAAGAGCAGTACAAAATTATACCTTATGGCGATATCTTCTTTAAAAAAAAAACAAGGTTGCACACCTTCCTGCCCAACCGTAGTTTAAGAAACGGGAACACCGGTCGATTAAAGAGTTAAAGCCCCTCCCCCCCGTTAAGAGTTGAAAGCGCGCCGGGGTTGCTTTGCAAACCACTTTTTAAAGGCGTTGCGTCTTTTAGGTCTGCGGCGCGTTCTCAGTTGTCGCTTTCCCTTTCTCTCCCTCTCTTCCCACTTCCCCCCCCCACCCCCGCCTGCTTCGCCTGCTCCGTCCCCTTCCAGTCCCCTCCGCCCGTCTGTACCTGCCGAGCGGCGCTCAATCTGTGCAGCCTCTGCTCTTGCCGGCGCTGATTGGCCGACGCCCTACCAATCGCGTTTCTGTCTGGGCCAGAGGGAATGCATATGTAAAGCCCTACTTCATATTTATAAGCTCCAATCGGGGCTTTAAGTCCTTGATTAGGAGCGTGTGAGCTTTTGGTCCCAACTGGCTGTGCCCATAGGCTTGTCACCAGGAGAACATTTGTGTTAATTGCACTGTGCCTGTGTCAAGGAAACTTTGATTTATAGCTGGGGTGCACAAATAATGGTTGCCGAGCGCACATGGATTCGGTAGAACTTTGCCTTCCTGAATCTTTTTCCTTGCACTACGAAGAAGAGTAGGTACCTACCATTCTTCTTATACCCCCCCCCTTCCCGCTTTCCTTTCTTATCCTCCCCCCCCCGCGCACTTTTTCCTTCTTCCTAATGGTGGGGAGGGAAGTAATAATAACAAATATATATCCAACGTGAAAAGCCGCTTTCAGGTAATGCCTCCTAGCGTCTTGCGTGCATGAGTGGAGCGGTATGTGTTCGTCTTGTCTCTTTTGTGCTGTGCTTTATCTGTTAATTCAGTAAGTGGAGGAATTGTGGTGGCTGTTTTTTCTCTCTCGACAATGTTACCTTTTGAGCGGGGAGCGGCGTGGCTGTCAGTAAAACAGCTGTGCGAGTGACAGTCATTTCTTATTCAGGTACTAAGAATAGGCACTTGGCTTGGCCCAAAGACAGAGTGAATTGTTTCAGCAGATCTCTCAGAAAGATACATTTCCCTCCCTTCTCCTGCCTGCTTTTCCTGAAATGAGTGGAAGAAAGCTATGGTCTAAAACAAGATTTAGATAATCTTTTGATCTTTCCTCTTTCTGAGGTTTCTTGCCAAGCCCGGTGGGGAGTGGGGGACCAGCTCAAGAGTTTAATCCCACTTTAAGGATAGTGCTCTGTAATTAAGGTTTAATGTAAGGCTCTAGTCATTTACTGACAAATAGGTCCATTAAGTAGCAAAGGTAGGGGTGTCTGTGGGTGTCTGTGCATATGTGCACGTGCGTATGTGCCACTTCCTCAGCCAACGTGAGCTTTGTTTGCTTTTGACTGGAATTTTAAAAGTGATTATTCTTTTTTAATGCAGCCTTATCCAGTGAAATATTTTGTATAAATAAAAATAAACATTTGGGCTATATAGCACGTTTTAATATTATTGACTGCATGCATTTTCTCTGAGGTCTGAACTAATAAACCGAAGGGGAAGAAGGTTTCCAAACCAGTGTATCACTTCACAACTTTGAAAGCCTGCAAACTTAATTTTGGCCTTAAAAAACCTGAGGCGGCAGGAGGGCTCAGCCTTAGACTGAATGCATACTATGACAATACTCAGAAGTGACTGTGTATTTTAGATATATGGTTACTAGCTGCCATTAGTGTCTGTATGTTAGATTGGTGAGTCACAATTAAATTTGGGGGGGGGGGTTGTAAAAAGAATCTTGAACATTGGCATGCAATATAGATTAACAAAAAAAAATATGCCAATGGGTGCTATTATGTTTGGATACCTGGAAGGCTAGGGAGAGAAAGGATTGCTTATTCACCTGCAGAAGAATGTAGATAAATTATATTAGAATAGTAATTGAAATGCAGTTTGTCGATCAGTCTGTTGATGTACAGTGTGATTTAAAATGTCTTAATTTGTGGCTAAGTGCAGTTGTCACCGTTCCAACTTTCAAAGGCTAGCTTTTTTCTGTGGAGAAGGTGAGAAAGAAAGAGAGGATTCCAAAGTTAGGAAGATGCTCTTTTTTCAAAGACCTTTCTTGATTTTTGTTCTTAGAGCTAATTTGAATGATTAATTTTGATAAGCTTCTTAAAGTAGAGGCATTTAAATGAAATCAGAGCATATGCCTTTTTAGCTCTGGTGGAAAAGTCTTATTATGCCCCCACCTTGCCACAATTAGCTCTCTACTTCCATTGCTCCCTGTCTCCCCCCCCCAATTAAAAGTCTTCTGGATTGATCTGTGGTTCAGTGGGTAGGCAGCTATCTAGTGCCCAGGAGCACAGCCGTTTCTCTCTGTCTGTATCTCAATTAATCAACCACAGAGTCTTACTTGCTATTAATATTGTTGGTAATTGTACTTTGGCTTTGTGGTATATTATACAAACCAAACTATGAATTAAGTCAAAAGAATGAAATAAAGAAACTGAATATTTCTAGAGTTGGAGCTTTATTGTGTGTGCATGGGCAGGGGTGGGGTGGGTGTTAGAATACTTACAGAATGTGGAGTGATAAAAAGACAGTATGATTTGAATTCTAGGTAGCTCACATTGAAGAATGAAAACCTTAAAGCCATCTGCCACCCTCGCATTTTCTTTTTCAGTAAAAGAAAGTAAATGCAAATAATAGTTAAAAAGAGAACGGAACAGATACATGTGCAGATGTATGCATATGTATGTGACTTTAAATACTATAAATGAAACTGCCATCATGGCACAAAATCTCATCTAACCTCTGATTAAAATGTAACGTTGGCTAAAGGCTTCTAGTGCAGACTTAATTTTACTGTTTTAACAGTTGTCACAGCTGTTGGAAGAAGGAAAGGCAATTGAAACACTCAAAAAAGGGCAGGGGGAGGACCTCATTTACTACATTTAAACATGATCTCTGAATGCCAAGCATACAAAAGCAAATAGGCTTGTAACTTCAGTTATATTCTCTGTATTGTGCACATTACCTTTTCCTCTGATCCTTTCATTAATTTGAGATCAATCTCTATCACACTACAAAAGTGCAACAGTTCTAAAATGAAACAAAGCAAATGTGAATGTTATAAAGCAATTAATTTTAAAGATAAGCAAAGAAATCAGCTTAATAGTAAAGAAGATAAAATACTCAGATGCCAACAAACTTCAGATGGTTTGAGTAGTGAACCCTGATGTCACAATTGAAAAGACAAAAGATGCTTTAGAGTCATGGAATTGAAAACTGTGCAAAGATTTTGGCACATTTAGTTTTAAAAATGGTATTAATTTGAGAGCTGCTGTATAGGTTTTTTTCTTGCTTTATTAATATTATTTAAATAGATATTAAAGGTTATTTGTTTTTGTTTTAATATCCTTTCCTTTGCTGCATTGATCTTAAAATTTGATCAAGAAAGGTGAACAATATTTGGTACAGAGAAGATGGAGTAATTAAGTGAAGAGAAAGTTAAAACTGTTTGGTCACCTCTCCTGACATAAGATCTCTCTATCTAATATAGGTGACACAATTTCTGCCTATCTGTGTTAATACAATATTTAATTCTTATGCATGAAAAAATTATTTTAAAAGTCATTGTCTTTAAATCTAAATATGTATTGTAATTGTGTAAGATATTAGCATGGCTGCTGTCTAAATGAGATTTTTTGGAGGGCTTTTCAAAATGGATCCTTATACATCTACTTAAATAGACCTTGTTATAGACTCATTGCAAAACTTCCAACTTTGGGTTTCTGTTTTTTATACACATTTTCTGCAAAATTTTGCAGCTGACAAAGTGCAAAAGCTGGTGCTGAAATATCTGACAGCTTTTTCATTTGCTAGGCCTGACCTCCCCCCCCCCCAAAGTGGTGGTTGTTCATTTTAATGTGTTTATGGTTCTTTTCTTTTATTTACTGAGCCTAGTCTGTTCCAGCAGTAATTAACCTGTGTTATTAGCAAAGCCCTTGTGGATATTCATTAATTCTCTTGAATGGATGATCATTTTCCTTCACTGTTATTTCTTCTCTTCCCCCGACATACTATCCTGCTTTAATTTTTTTCTTAAGATTTTTTTTTAAGTACTTAATTTGGAAATTTGATAAATTGATGTTTTTTGGGGGAAAAAAACAGTAATAAAAACAGCAGTTTTGAATAGTTGTGTGAAAGTATGTCAGACAAGAAGGAAGATCTCAACACATTTTTATTTTATTTTTTTTTAAAAAATAATACAATCAGTATAAGGTGATTTTTTTTCTTCCTGTCATTTATTTATTTTGTGACAATCGTAAGCTAAGAAATGAATTTTATTCTTTTCATCTGATCTAAAGTTACTCTGGACAGCAGTTTGTGCACTGAAAGAAAAAAATATATATTAAGCCTTCAGGAAAATAATGCTTCCGCTTAGACTGCTGAGGACAGATAAGGACTGCCTCATTAGCCAAACCTCACTTTTGCAATTATTTAAAAACACATGGAACTGTACATCAAACATAGAAGATAACTTGCTTGTGATTATCTTTGTAATTCTTGAAGCCACTTCTCAAAAGCGAGCTAATTGTGTTACATTCTAATAACACAAGGTTTGGTTTGGTTTGGTTTGTGTTGTTTAAATAACAGCATACAAATAGCTTGGCAAATGTCCTGGTATTGAACATTTCTGATGCACAGTGACCTTTGTCTTGGTGCAAAAACAAATAGAAATGAACAGCACTAATATTTATTGACAGTCTTAAATGAATGCCCTCTTATGAATATTGTTAGCCTATTACCAATCAGCAAAAATGCTGAATGTTAAGAAATTGAAAGCAAATTGGATATGCTTCTCTAGAAGCTTAAAACAACTTGGTTATTTTCCATATAGTTTGGATTTTGCTTTATCACATACACACTAAAGACAAAAACAATAATATATTGGTCTCTGTCTAGTTCCTTTCTAGCCCTAGCAAGCTCTCAAGAGGAAATCTGTGATTATGCTAGGCTGGTTCGGTTTTTATCTCTTTTACATTCATTGGCCTTGTATTAAATTGTCATTGTCCTAGAGCACATGAGAGAGAGGAAAATGAATTGCACTTCTTGACATTCTCTGACAGTGAAATATTTAACTTCTCTGTCTCCAATCATACTCATATGTACATGTTTGATAGTGCTGGAATGACAACCAGCAATCCCTGTTAGTCTGACATCCCCATTTTACAAGTTTGCGAACCAATTCTCCTTCTGTCTCCCTTTAATACCAGTTTTACTTGGCTGAGGCATATCAGCATCTATTTAAATTGATATAAAACAATTCCACATTTTATCGCAACTGATAATGGTTGCATAAGCATGTGGCTGCTTGCTTTGTGCATGTTCCACTATTATATCTGTTTGTCTATATTTGTGTGTTATAAACAGAGTGTGTGTGCAAACATTTTTGAAACTTTTTTATCTTAAAAAAATAAACTCCGCAAGAACAGTGTAGATATTAGATTGCCCTGATTCTGTCTTTTTTTTCCTCCAATTGCTGGTGCATTCTTTTAGATAGGTAATCCAGATGCTGTTATTTTCACATTTATTATTTCATACAACAAAGTTTATCTTTGCACTTTTTAGATATAATAAAAGGTGTTACTCTTCCGACATGCAACTTGTTTAATATTAGAAACATTGGTCTAAAGGGAAATTGAAAATTCATTTTTAACGAAAAACATTTGTTAGTATTCTGATACATACAGCTTTTACTGTTTTCATATTCTAAAGAAAATCAACTGTAAGATTTTACTTGCGTTCCTCCAAATTGTAAAGTGTAATTAAAATTAAACTATAAAATTATATTTTTTTTACTGTATGCCCAACTTTAAATACTTCATTAAAGAGAAAGAAAAATTTAGGTTCTAAAACATCAAATTTACAATTAAACTTTATAGTAGGAAATAAGAGCTCAAGATGTTAAATGAACCTGATTTGTTCAAATAATATGTAGACACTATAGCATATTTTGTAACACTGCTTCCATTCTAATTGGAAATAAGTGAAACAGCTAGCCTCTGTTGTTTAAACATAGGCTTATTTCTATAACTTATTTTAATTTCCTAAAATATTTTTTTTGCCTAGAGTTTGCTTTTACTATTGTTACTTAGTATTTCTGCTTTATTCTGTTGCTAATTATTTTTGAATGTGTATGTGCTTATATACCAGAGATAGAAAATATATGTGTATGTGTGATTGTAATACACACGTACACACCACATACATGCATCTTGTGTGATTGGAGATATATAAGACCTCTGCATTATGGCTTTCTCCTTTAATTGCAGTTCTGCCATAAGACATCTATAGAATTGGATTTTTAATTGTCTTTCACTGAAGTTTGTATTGAAAATTATGTCTTGAACAGGAAAATATACTAGTTTGCTAATCTGTTCACTTTTTTTCGTGTGCAAATACAGCTTTACACACACACACACACACATATACACACACGGCAAAATTGATCCTTTATTGTACTATGATGACTTTGAATGTCAGGTTTCAGGTTTTTCAAATCATGGACAAATAATTTTCCCACAAATATTTTATTAATACAGATATTATTACTGCAAAATTATGCACGTTTGCTTATGAAGTTTAAATTGTGGTAGCAATTTATGGCAACTTAGTCCAAGGATTCCTAACCAAAATATATGAGATTAAGTAATTGTAAAGCTAAGGTTTGTTTTTTATCCAAGCTGAATTTGTACAATACATTCATCAAACTGAAGATTAATCTAAAAGATTGACTTTTTGTAAGCATAAATACTTGGAAATTATATGAACATTGACCCAAATTGCTTATTATATAAGATGCTGGGTTTATATAAGGAGAACATTGATCAGGAATGTTTCTGAAGTCCATAAAGGAAGGGCACAAACAAATGGGCAACGATCAACATCCCACATATACTATGGGATAATTCCTCCACCTGTATAGTAGGTTTTTTTGGGATGCAAGCCACTGAAATAAATGAAACATTCATTGTTGATCCTCCTCCCCTGAAGGAAATGGGAAAACAAAATCTAGGTAGATGTTTGTCAGGATATAGTCCATTTGTATTTGTTTGCAACCTGCTATCTCACTTATTCTTCTGTGTCTTTTCAAGTTTAAAGTGAGACAGAAAGGCACATCTCCTTTTGATTGGAACTACATGCCATACGTAATGTATTTTGGCAGCACTTACCTAGCCAAAGAAAACAAATTAATATTAGCCATGCTGTGGGGCATCTGAAGTATCACAGATATGTCAATTTAGCTTTGCTCTCTCATATGACTTTTCCTTAAACAGCTGGTTGAACTGTCGCAAGGTGTTGTAAGGGCTACAAAGAGAGTTTTAATAGGTGTGATCAGTGATTGAAGGCTGTGGCTAGTTAGAATCAGAACACATTGCCAATGCTTGTTTTCAGCCTTCATTAAAAAAATATAGGTGCTCAGAACTTAGAAAACCTCTATTCATACTTGATCTTTAAAAAGTCAGATCTAGAGATAGTAAGAAATAATGAGAAAAGCTACATGGATTAAAGTTGACTGTCTTCTAGGCAACAATTAAATTTCTTTTTGTATACAGATGCAAGTGAATAAGGAAAGTAAGGTGTGTTGGGTCATGGGATTTTGTTCCTTTGTTTCCTCATAATTGTTCACAAAAAATAATATTGAAGACCAATTCTTACTCTCTTCTAAAATCTGTGGTGTTTTAAATGTTTTATAAGAGTTTTATACCATTTGATACATTCAAAAATTTAAAAAAATAATATATCATGGATGACATAGCATGTTCGATCTGCTCTTTAAAAAATGTGCCACGTATAAAATATCAGAAAGCAAACACTGACTTTTCTATTTGTATATACAATTGCCTATTTTGTTTATTTCCAATACATTTCCATTTTTTTGTAATATCTTGGGACATGCTGTAGGTTTTAGCTTGATTTGTAAGTTAAAGGCTCTCTTTTTTTCTTAAATATTCCCAGGTGATGTCAGATGAAAAGGGTATTATGGCTGAAATATACACCAGAGGAATTCATTTTGGCAAGCCTGGTCCATGTAGGTTAGTGAATCAACAAATAAATAAATTGTTTTGCTTTTGTTTACTTTAAGTTGAGCAAAGACAGAAAAAAAGGAAAAGATAAGAAAATGAATTTTGCAAACAATATCATATTTATATCACTATGCAGATAAATGTAATAAATTCTGTATAAAATTTGCGTAGAGACAGATATTTTCCAACAGCATATTAATAATTATTTTCATTATGAATTGTTTATTTTATCAACTTACAACTTTTATTCTTATTAACACTTTCATAGCAGAGGTATGGTCCACAGGTCTGAAATGGCCTAAGGTACACTTTTTAAAACATTTCTCCAAAAATTGCAGAAATGGGAGATGAGATTTTTAGCATCTAAAAGACATGCATTAGGCACTGTATGGTTATATCACTGAATGATTTCTACTTAAGAAGTAGGTCAAGTTAGCAACAGCTAACACCCACTGTTAGTGATTTACATTAATATGAGTGACACCTGTCCCATCAATCATAGGGACCATAGTTTCACAGATGGAGAAACAACAATCAGGTGAATTACACAGCATAGCACACTTGGCTTAATTCATCTCATTGTTTTCCTACCAATCTAGAGAATGGTTTGTTCTGCTCCTAAGACTAAGTCACAAGATTGAGTTCTGCTCAGGTGGGATCATGTCCCAGCCTTTAATCTGAAAAAATACTCCTTCAGAGGAATTGGAGATAAAGTAGTTCCTCCATTCTCTTTGGCATTTGGTGGAATAATGACTGTAGAATATAAATTCCTATGGTATAAGTAATTGTTTTCTTTACTCATAAGTGAATTAAAAAATATATAAGTTCAAGAAACTGTAAATTGCATCAGAATCTTGAAGCAAATGTGTCAATTGTGACATATTCAGAAAAAAATTGATCAGTTGCTTAAGATGCCGCAAAACAATTTTTTTAAATTAAAAGGTAATAACACATACGGCGAACTTCGAACAGTGTTGATATGTATCCATTATAGGAAAATCAATTAAATCTCAAGTACAATTCTGGTTCCGTTCATGCCTCTTTTGCTCCACCTCTATTCTAATGTCAGTGGTCCTCATTATATAAATATATATTTCTCCCTGGCTGTAGTTTGAGAATAGTTGGGGATACAGTGCAGATTCTTCATATTTTTTCTGATTCTAATATCAAACAGCAAACCTGTAGCATGTTGAAATCAGTCAGCAGTTCTTCCAAGATACAGCTTGTGTTTGATTGTGTGTAAATACAGTTAGTTAGCTGGGTTTATCTGATAGCCTGGCAGAAAGAGAGAGAAACAGGACAATCTGTTTTCAGTAACTGTGCTGTTCATACACCTGATAAGATTGAGAGTACTTTCGACTGCTGATACGTTTTGAATAAGAAAAGAATAATCACTTCCACAGGCACCAGCTTATCAGAAATGGAGCAAAATGCCAACACTTTTACATTAGCAAAAGTGAACATTTTAAACAACTTATGACTCGCCCCTTCATTTAAATTGAATAGAAGGTTACTTGTAAGTATACAGTAATGAAGCAGACAACTTTTTACCTATTTTAAACTGCAAATTATATTGGGAAAGAAGCATTTTTGTAACAATAAGAACTGTTTGGAAGTAGAATATAACTATTTCAAATAGTATTGAGAACATTTTAGAACCTTTGTCTCTTCCATCCTGTTCTGTGCATATCCATATTGATAGGGAGCATTAAGTTCATAATTCCAAATTTCACTATTGTGTTTTAATATATGAGATTTCAATTCAGATCAGTATCTTATGTTAAACTGCCGAATATCCACAACAAAGTTCTACATTTTAAGGAAAAATAAAGCAGAAATATAATTTTATTTAGATTAATTTTAGTGGAGACAATAAAATGTATCCTAGTGGTTTTTTTTTTAAAAAAAAGACATACAAAAATTAAAAAAAATTGAAACTAAATGCATTATCTTTTTTTTAAATACTTTTGACTCACTTTCCATGGTAGAATAATAAAAGCATAATATTTATCATGTTTTGCTTCTGACTTAGATATCTTTTAGATACTATGGTAGTTTGAGACTGTTGTAACATTGTGTTTTTAACTGTTAAATTTCTTCTAAATCATGCAGATAAATTTGGTGTATTCAGTTGATAAATTGGAGAGCAAACCACAATAGCTTGATTTGGAATTTTTATTGATTATCTTCCATAAAATCACTGTTACCCATTTATGTCAGTAACTTCCTTGTTCTGTACATCTAAATGAGACAAGAACTTTGAGAACAAAATGTTGATGTGTTGATTAAGCACCTATACATGTCTAGTTTCAGTATGCTTTTTCAATGCACAGGTTCATTTTTGCAATTTAAGCCATTTAAAGAAAAATATTCAGTTAGATTTATGAAATTTTAGCTAAAAACCACTGGTTTCATTTGACTGTAAAGTAATTTGATTACTTGAGGCGAACTTCATGCTATCGCTCAAAGGCTTCATTCTGTGAAGATGTCAACTGTAAATATAAAAATGCATCACTGAAAATACAGTGGTTTAAGATTCAAACAGAAATAAAATTCCCTGCCTGGGGAAAATAGTGCCATGAAAAATAAAAGAGAAGTCTTTTCTTCTGTTAAAGCGTTTGGAAATAGTGAGTTAAAGCAATAAGACCCACCACATTTTTTTCAGACACACCGAATAACAGAGTTGGAAAATAAATTGGAGGTCTTCTAGTCCAACCCACTGCTCATGTAGGGAACCTTATATCATTTCAGACAAATTGTTATCCAGTCTCTTCTTAAAAACCTCCAGTGTTGGACGACCCAAAACTTCTGGAGGCAAACTGATTAATTGTTCTAGCCATCAGAAAATTTCTCCTTAGTTCTAGAGAAAACTGTAGAGAAAACAATATTCTATAAATCCACATATACTTCATTCCCAGTGAAGCATATAGTATGTAACTAAGCAACTCATATTCTATACAATTTGATTGATTGATTAAAAAATGCTTTAGCATTCCTGGATTTTTCCACTGGAATTATCTATTACATAGGATTGTGAATTCAAATCCAAGTAATATAGTTTTGTCTTGGTTTCACTTATGATTAGAGAAAGACTAGGAATTAGCTAAGAATGAATTCTATCATTCCGTGCTCCTGCAGTTCAGAAGGAATATATTGCATTAACTCCAATACAGATTACAGGATTGCACTTACATCAGTCATAAATGCCACATCTAGTTTTTACTTTGTGGATTGATTTCAAGTTTTAAAGGTGTGGGGACTCTAACAGTCAGTGTCAAGTTCTGAACTTGGTCACATCACAAAAATGAACTGCTATGGAAGTAAGTGAGGTACAATCAGCTCTTCATTAAAGCAGAAAGCTTGTTATGCAACCATCTTCAAAGCAGTATATCTCTAAATAAATTCTTGGCTCCAATTGAAAGAGTTCAATAGCAGTAGACTGTAGGGTAGGGCTGAGACTAAGTTATAATACCTATTTTTCAGGGAGAAGGGCCTTGAACCAGTTTTGAGTCTCTCCGTTTAGAACTGGGAAGCACTGGCATTTGCAAAATCAGAAGGCTATAGCCAGCCTGTGTTTTATTAAGGTTATTGATTATAATGTGCCATATTGATTATGATTGAACATTATAATGTACATTTATAATATACTGATAGAACTCTGAGAGATTTCCTGCAAATAGCTTAGGTTTCTAGCTACATATGCCATCATTATATTAGAAACTAAAATCATTGTTTTAGAGGATACTGAGTGGCTTTTTTTTTTTTTTTTTTGAAAGAAAGTACATACAAAATTGATTCTGGGAGTATTTGCAAATTCCCCAACTGAACCTAGGAACCTGGACACTCTGTACCTAGGATCCTTGGCACTCTGATTTAGCACAGGATATGACACTATTTTGAATTCTTAGGAAGTCTACCTACATTTTTTGTTCTGCAGCTGTTTTATGATAGCGGCCCTTGAGCTTCAAATTCAGAACAAATTAATCATAAGAAAATTATGTATGAAAAGATGTAATCTCAAAAAGAAATCCTTAGAAATACAGTAGGAGATTGCTGGATACATATATCTTTTTATGTCTCAAAAAACATATACTTTTATAGAAAAAGAATGAGGCCTCTAATGGAGTGAATCTTCCATATTTGGGACAAATGCATACTGAATATATATGAACAGCAACAAGGATTGTAGCTTTTAAGGAAAATGTTACTGTACCAGCATCTTTGCAAAAATACATGTGCACTTCAAATATATGTGCACTACTTTTAAAAAAACAAACTAGAATTGGCTTTTTTTTTAGTTCAGCAGAATGACTTTTGTTGACAGTTTAGGCGGGGTTAGCATATATAGACTTAGAGCAGCAGCACAAACCATAAACCATCAGTAAGCAGCAGGTGTGAACAACATAAAACAGGATTAGCATTGAACCAAAGTGTGCAGTAAAAACAAAAGCCCTGCCTTGGCTGCAGAAGGAAAGTCAAATAGAAACAGTACCATACCACGCACACCTAGTTTACTAAACACTGTTCAGTAAGCTAAGTAAATGATGCTGTTCAGTTGCTGCCACAAGTAATATTTTTGTATCTGCTTCTAAGTGTCCCCATCATTGAGTAGTCTGTACTTCAAGCACCCTTAGAGTCATTGGACCTGTTTGAATTTTGCATTAGGTTTTTTATTCAAAAGTATGATTATATTAATTCAGTCCTATAGAAGTAAAATTGAATGGGGGAAACCGAGATATTGTTAGAAGCAAATATAGTCAGAAATAGAAATAATTACTATTACTATGACTATGATTATATTATTATGAATAATGGTGTTTATATAGGTTATCTAAAGGATTAATATGTACAATAGTAAAATTTTTCTTATTTATTTATTATATTTCACACTTTTTAATTATCCATCTCTCTCAGTTCTCAGAATGAACATACAAACTGATAAAAAAAGCAATGATGGGAATGCATTGTGATAGAGATATTTTATGTTTGATTTGGTTTTTTCCCTGTAT